CGGGGTAAAGAACCGAGTATTCATTAAGATGGTGTTTGGTATTGATGTAGCTTTTTGGAGCAAAAGTCCAGCATCATGGAAAATTATTTGGTTGAGCCGTTTATCAGATAAACTCTCGTTCTCGAAAATCATGAGAGTCGTTTATCAAAAAAAAATGCCAAATCTGATGTTTTTCATTTTTAAGACCGTTTTTATACTGTTTGGCTTATATGGCAGTGGTAGATGTGTAAATCAGGCTGTGCCGCCCTCAGCCTGGTACGGCCCRGCACGATGGTCTGTGGGCCGTGCTGGGCCTGGGGTTTTAGGTCAACAGGACGGCACGGCATGGCATGTGCCGCCCATGGCTCGTAGGTCTGCACGGCATGGCGGCATGGCACGTGCCGCCCATGGCCTATAGGCTGGCACGTGCCGCCCGTGGCCCGCGGGTTGGCATGGCCCAACCCATAGCCTGGCATGTCCCATATATATTATTTATATATATTTTATATAAATTATAATTATATAATAATATATAGTATATAATATATTAATAAAATAAATAATTTTTTAATTTTATTATACTAATTTATTTAATTATTGTATATATAAGCAATTGTATATACAAAATTCATATAAAATTAAAATTTTAAATTTTGTCAATTTTTTTAAATAAATAGCTTTGGCCCAATGTACAGCCCGACCTGACCCAAGGCTCAGCCCATGGGCCTGCCTGTGGGCCATATCGGGCTGATCTTCAAATTTTTCACCGAGGAGGGTGGCACAACCCACAATTTGCACGGGCTGGCCCGATACGACCCACTTTACACCTCTAGGCAGTGGCGCTAATGGCGCTGTGTAAAAAAATAGTACAAAATGATTAAAACAGATTGTCTCGCTTTTTAAGACAATTGTACAGAACGTTTATTATATAAACGCCATCAATGCCCCAACCAAACAACCACGCAAGAAAGAGAGGCAAGGAGTTCGGAAACTGCTACTGTTTCTGTATTAAGTGATGGACAAATGTTCTGAAATTGCAGCGAACGGGGTCTAAACTCTAAACCCCACTCATCAACAACTAACAGCGGAACAACTACTTTAGTGTCGCCGTGCCGGTGTTTGTTCATAACACATAATTGGCTTGCCGGATAACCACATTTTATAACTGTTGGAGATAAATCGATAATATATCATGAACTTCTGCAACTTCCAGTCGGTTGTGAGTCTGATTCCACCACCGGGTTTGTCCAGCCATGATCCTTCCAATGTGAAACGTAATCGTTATCTGATAGCCAATAACAACTTCAAAAGCAACTTATCCCATAGAAATAGGATTACTATGTTGATGTCTACCCCTCGAATCTCTAATGATAGAGAAAAACATTTCCCGTGACTGTCCATGCAAATCCTAATGAAATCCTAACACACTAGTGCTTGAAATAAAAAGAAAAAAAAGGGTAAATCTCTTAAATTACCCCTACAGCCCTACTGTTTGTGAAATTGGCTAATTCTGCCTTTACTGTTTACATATTTTCTTAAAGTACCCTTAAGTTTTCTAACAATTGATACGCCTGTAAAGTGTAGCCAATAACGGAAAAAAATAAAATATCGAATTTACCCTTCACTATTCATCAAAATTTCAAAATAAAACCCAATTGACTGTGTAGACCGGTCCATTTATGCATGGGTGTCAGAAATACTACCCGATCCAGATATTGGTTAGAGTATCCATTGTTTTTTGAATCGTATTGAGTAGGAAATCCAGTTTGTGTATTGAGTTTTTGAATCATTTGCTCCATTTTCATGTGCTAGGATGAAAATTGGTGGTGCAACCGTTCCACTCCCCGTCTTTCATTGTGATCGAGCTGAAAATGGTTGCAAATTCTTATACTTTGAAGGCATGGAGACGTAGAGCTCCACCAAAAGCACATACTGAAGATGGTATGGGTAGCGCAGTTAGAGGGAGAAGAAAGATTGAATCTAGCATTGGATGATGTTGTTAACAGATCCATGAACGGCTATAGATCCACGTGTCAGTCTCCTGTCAGATTGTCTTGATGATGCTCCCGGATTTTCCAATCACACCACTGGCATTAATATTGTGGTAGCAGAGGATGTGATATGTGGCATAGGTGGAGGAGAGTTTCAGGTTTTTTGGAGGCGAATGCTTTGCATACAAAGGGACTTAAATCTTTTTCATTGTAGATGGCGGAGGAGACGAGGAGTTGATCGGTGGCATACTAAGACCTCTAGCGGTGAGTATCTGATCGGTGGCGGTTTGGGTTTGAATATTCAAAACCTACTGTTGAGAATGTTGTGGGGATGTTCGTGCTCTGGTTCTAGCTACTTGGCAGAAATCAAACAGCATTGCTACTGAGATCTTCTTCGCCATTGAGTGCGAGAAAAGTTTGGAAAACCTAAAGTTGATTAACATTTCCATTCGAAGTGGCGCCAATGTTTTCTTCCTTAAATTCACAAGGATCAAACTTGAATTACCAGAGACCGTCCTCTCAAGTACATCGATGATGGTTTTGTAGATAAATCTCTTGAAACGAATTCTTGAAGCAAATAAGAAGGTTCAACATATCTTACTTTGTAGCAAGGGACCTACAACAGATGGAGTTCTTGAAAAGTGGAAGAAGTTTCTATGGACCTACAATGAACCATTCTCCCCTCCTTATACTTGGAAGGCATAGAGACATAGAGTCCCACCAAAATCACATACTGAAGAATGTCTGGGTAGCGCAGTTGGAGGGGTAGAGGGAGAAGAAAGATTGAATAAAGCAGTTCTTTCGGGCTTTATTCCTCAAACAACTAGTTTTCTTGGGGTTTAACAGGAGTGGAATTGCATCTTTCCAATTCGATCTTCTACGGAGAATTTTATTTTCAAGCTTCACAGGACATACCCTCAACTCTGTGCTTCAAGCAACAATGCTTAGAGTTTTCTCAACTTCTTCGGATGATTTGGATTATGAGAAATCCAATTACCCCAGTCAAAACCTGGAATTCAAACATCAAGAGATTGAGGGACCTATGGTCAAACTTTTATCATTTGGAAGTTGCATGGTCGTCGTCGCCTGTGACAACGATACCAAAATCACCGCCACCGTTGCAACTTCCAACAATGGTGGTGAACAATAAGAGTATTTTAGGAATTTTAAAATAATTACCACTCACGTGATGTCAATGTGAACGAAGTGTGATAGAAAATTAACGGCAAGGGAGGTTTTAGACAATTGTTATAAATTTTAAGGGTACTTTAAGATAATATGTAAATAGTAGGGGTAGTTTAAGAGATTTACCCAAAAAACATCAATTGATGTGATGTCATGAATTTATTGCAAATGTTGGCGTGTTTGCATTTTATCTGGGGTCTTTGGATTGTCGCAGTTGTAGGTTGCTGGCGGATTAGTTGCAAATGAAGCCATTCGTCGGCGGAATATCACTACCATCAACAATAAGGGTCAGGCTTTTCATGGGAGAAGACTGTTTTAGAGAAGCAAAGAAGAAGGAAGATTTACCTACTCTCTGTCTCCGGTCGCTAGAAGAAGATTTCACTGCCGGTGATGCCTTTTGTCTTCGTTGGTTGGAGAGGATAGTAGAACAAGGGTTTGGTGGGTCGATTTGGGTGGAGACTAGAAAGACGCAGGAAAGAAGAGAATAGAAAGGGTATGTTTTGAATGAGGGATGACTAACGGCGTTCATAGTAAACGCCTGTTCACCATCCTCACACGAATATAAAATGCACATGCGCTTATGGATACGTGTCATTCTCTCGTAATGTTCAAATGGTGTTTGAACTCATACAACTTTGACTGAAGCCCAACCCCCAATAGAATGCCATTTTGTTACTTTTAGAAATTTTTGTGAGTTAAAATATATATATATATATATATATATCCCATCACTGCATATTTCGCATATATAAAGACTAAGATGCCCTTGTATTGCTTATTGGGTATAGAATGTATTAGCTTTGGAAGTTGGAAGAGTATTCTATTTGGGGGAAATCTAAAGAATCCATACAAACTACAAAGCAAGATATTAATGGAGATAAATTTCAATAAACAAAATAAAAAAGAATGGATTTGTATTGTCAATGCACATTTCTATTAAGGGTATTGTCAATAAACAAAAAAAAGAATGTTTTCCATAAA